CTGATGTTATTTACCTGTATTATCATTTAACTATAGCTATTTTAAATTATTATAATTAAATTATCATAATTATAGCCCAAATTCCTTAAAAGAAGAATTTGTTGGAATAATACTTTTGTACAGATATTCTTCAGTATGGCATACTGCAGAATTCAGGAATTTTATGACTTGTTATTTATTTATTGTTATATCATTTATTCCTGGCAAACTCACTTTTGTCTACATATGGTTCATTTTTTCCAAACTAGAAATGTATTCACCTGATTTAACTGCTTCCATCAAACAAACAAAAATTGCTAGTTTTAAGAACAAGTCCATAAGTTTAAAATGGCATGATAGACAAGTTGCTCAACCTACAGAGTGGCTTCCAACCCTAATAGCCAAGGTTTTACAACGACAGGCTGTATGTATGGGGTGTTTCCTTCTTAAATAACTTTCCTAAGAAATCATTGGTAGTGAGGCATTTTTTAAAAATAAGAAATAATTTATTTTTAATAGGAACCTACTTGCATAGATATTCATTTACCCATGTCTTGAACATAGGGAAATTATCCGCGAAGATATTTAAGTTTTTACAAGTTTTCCTCTTACAGATCATTTTTTCGTTGATTTCATAGAGAAATTCTAATAATTCTCTGTTGATAACAGTTGTATAAAAGAGATATAACTGCAATGTCAAAATTTTAGCATTATCAAGTTCTGTAGGAACAAAAAATGAGCAGAACACCATTGAGAAAATGTTTATTTACTAAACAACCTTGATAAATTAGAAACTTTTCAAGGAACTCTTAGAGACAGAAAGAACAAACATACTTTGAACATACTAAAATTTAAAAGGAGAATTAAACTCCTGCTCTTCCTGCTTTTATTGAAAAGAAGCCCTAGTAGATTATTATTCAACTACACTAATAGCAATTTTATTCAGGATTCCCATGAACTCATCCACTTGAAGACCTGGCCTTAGAGAGTCAAATATGTCATATTTCTTTTACTCTGTTAACAATTAGGTTTTCCAGAAAAAATTGTATTTTTACTCACCTTTTATGCTATATGTTACTGAGATCTTTAAAAAAAGAGAGAAAATTAGAAAACTCTCCTTGAATAATCAGTAAGCTTTACAGCCTCTTCTTTGGGTTTTTTGTTTTGTTTTTAAAGCAGTGACTAAATATTCAAATAATGACATTTAAACATCACAAGTTTATTCACTGATACGTAATGTAATGACTTAGTTTCCAGAACCAATACTTGAATTTGAATTGCTTTTACTGTTACACTAATCAATGTAATCTCTGGAGACAATACAGGTAGCACTTGCTTGTATCTTTCTTAGAGCACATGATCTTTATATATATGTATGTATATTTTATTGTGCTTTAGGTTCTGGGGTACATGCAGCACATGATCTTATCATGAATCAGGGTTATGGTGATCATCTTATTCCTTCAAACACCAGGAGAACTGCTTCAGGCGAGTAGCCAGGTGTGATTTACTCAGGTATCTTTCCCAGTACCCGGCCCCATGGTTTTTAAAGCACATAGCCTTCCTAAATCCTTTTTGAATAAATTGAGCTCAAATGTTCACTTACATTAGCTCTTTGTCAGTATCTCATATAGATCAATACATATGACCCTAAGGTGAAATTTAATCTTCAAAAAGCACTTGATTCCGATTAGCCTTTTGGCTGTTGCCTATTCAATCGAGAAATTCCTGGTAACTGAATTATCAGAAATGTCAGTTGTTTTATAAAACTGGTTCGGTTAAGTATAACAAAACAAGGCAATTAAAGATGAGTAAATTTTTAAAGAGAAAAAAGAACTGCTCATCTCATTACAAGGCAAGTTCTACAAGTGTAGAGACTTTGCTAGACTTGTTCATTGCTATATCCTCAACTTCTAGAAGAGTCTGTCACAGCAAATATTTAGTGAATGAACAGACTGCTGAAAAAGCATGTTATTATTTTATCTCTTTTGTTTTGAGTTCAGGCTGTTAAAAGGGGATCCATCTGTGCAGTGCAGAAACTCTAATACAGGTTCACAGTGAAGTCTTATTCTGGCAAAGGTTCCAGGATTGGGATTACGAAATATTTAAAAAAATAGAGTAAATTTACTTCCCAGACACTGACTGGCTGATCAAGCAAGGGCCTGGGGCACATCAAGTGCAGGTAAAGAAGAATTTCAAGTATTATCCCCGTGCATGCAGGCAGTACCAGTGCCAGCAATAACAAGTCAGTTTTTCTGGCAAATCCATCAAAACTAAATCTTAAACTTTTGAAAAAACTAATATGTTTATTATGCTCCTGTTGGCTTAGAGGCTTAACTATCTGTGGGGAGGGCCTATAATTATGATCAATTACTTATGATTTGAAGGCACTTATAAAACCATCTGCCCTTTTAAGAAACCATTAAAGAACCAGCCTTAAGACTGTAAAACTAATCCTAGGGGCAATAATAAATCACAGGTTTGGGGACCCAACTTTGACAATTCTCCCTTGGAAGGAAAAGAATTGCTGTCACCTGTCCTTATTTCCCCGACCTTGTCTGAGCAAATATTAGCAACCTCCAAAATCCAGAATTCTTAGTCTGGCCAAGTAAGTCATGGGGACCAATGGTTGTTCCAACGCAGAGACAGAAGAGAAGAAACAGGAAGGAAACAAAAAGGGAATGAAGATCTGTAGCTCGTGAGGGTGACATCATCAATAATTTCCTCAAGTGTCACTGAATTTCATGGCTCCTGATTGATAGTGTTTTCTGACATCCTACAGGCTAATTATCCTCAAGTACCTTCTTGGTTCCAGAGCCTGTAATGTCTCAGTTTGAATATGATTTGTTCTACAAAAAAGGTCAGGTGAATGAATTCCTTCCTGCAAAGTTGCTCTATGGCAAGAGACCCACGAATCTGCTGAAATAGAAACAATCCTTAGATATCTGAAGCGCTTTTAAATTTACAAAGTGCTTTCACATACACCATCTCAATTTATTCTCATGATTTTAAGAGGGAGATGCCATCATCACCACTTAACATGTAAAAATAATTTTAGAATTTTAGAAAACAATGTCTTGGTCTTCAGTTCATAAGTATATCCTCCTAAAATTCACAGTACAGAATCCAATTCATGGGTCAGTTAGAAACATCTAGAAACACATCAATCTCAGGAGGATAAATCAAGCGAAAAAGATGGATCAGACAAAATCTATCAGTACAATGGCAAAAAGTGTTCCTCTGTTATAAGAATGGCATGAGCTTTGTAAACAATAGTGTTATACAGGGGTGCCGTAGTACCTCTATGTTGGAAGGACATTGTTTATTCATATACATAACCACTCTTAACTGGGCACTCACAGGTAACAGACAAAATAAAACAAGAACTTTTGTCTTAAAATTGTAGCGGTAGAATTCATCTTTTGGGTGCACTTAGGTGACTTCTCTGGGAAGACAAGTGACTTACAGGGGACTAAATGTACCCTCCCCTTTTCCCTCCAATATCACAAAGAGCCTCCAAAAGGTGTTTTGTTGTTTTTAACAAAGAAAATACACACTAAAGAAGTCATCTATAGCTTTTATATATAATATCATCTTCCAAAACACTCATTCTAGCAGTCTCAGTATCTTTTGTCCTTCCTTTCCTTTCTAGCTAAAGCAGAGGTATAATGCTGTCCTATCTTTATAACCATTTACTACCTTCTTTATGTATTTATGATTCTTTGATGCCTTCTAGCTTGAGTCTAACTGCATTGGGAACAAAGCACCACACAAATCACCAGCCTGGGATGAGAGGAGATAAATAAAAACCTCCCAGGAAGATTCTGTAGATACTTGGTCCCTCTGAGTCTGTAGAGGGTTTGGTATTTCAAAGGTCAGTGTTGGGTCTCTCCACTTTGATGACTAATGTTAAACTGTTTGACTTTTTACAAAAATATTTAGCTGTGCTTATTTACATAATTTCATCCTCAGTGCACACAGTAGGCATGTATTTGTTGAACAGAAGCCCTAGATGGATAAGAAAAAAGATCTTTCGCTACACATGACCTCAAGTCGAAAAAGGTAAAATCACAATCCAATTTGTAGAAGTTTCTAGGCATTCCTTTTCAATGCATTTCTGTTTAAAAAGGAAAAGGATGGCACAACCAAACAATGTCAACCACACAATGGGGAAATTCCAGGATCACTAAGAAAACACCATTATCCTAAGTCACACATTTTCATTTAATACTGGCTACCACACAGGGGAGACTAAGAACTGCTGTTTCCCCACCCACTAGCACAACCCATCTGGGAAAAGCATGGGCAGAACATTTATGATCTAACCATACCACATCTTGGACTCACATTTAACCCTTTAGAGAATTAGTCTAAAGAGTAGTCCACCCAGAGATACAAGGATAACCGTTTTGGAAGAAATTTTTACGACGCTGTTTGAATTTGCGCATCAGCATTCAAACTCCTTAGACCACCAGGAGTCATTCTTGTTACGAAACATTAACAAAGAGAAACTGCGAGTATGATTGGCAAAAATACTCTGATGTTTTGCATCTTCCTAACCTGATTGACACTAGACTCCACCCATAAAATGCTCACTGATTATCACACCGCATCCTCATTCTCCAGTCTCACTCACTCTTTCAAAAATTCCCCAACTGCATGGCCAGGAAAAATAAGCGGGGGATAGCAGGGCATGTCTCAGGTTGGCTTATTCTGTCCCTAAAACGCACCCCCCTCTCCCGGACCCTCCTTCAGGGAGGGTTGGGAGAAAAAACTTGTAAGTTGTACAGCTGCGGAAAGCCCGTGCACGTCACGTTTTCTGACTTGTCTTTCTGCTCGCCGTCTGGCAAGGTCGCCGGCTCTGGCTCACGGCTCTGTCGACAAAACTTAACTCTCACACTGCAAGATCAACGGGTTACGCCGGACCTCCCCAGTCGCCCTCTGCCCCAAACCTTCCTGGGCCTGAGGATTCCCAGCTCGGCCCTCCCCGCCCGCGGCTAGGGCGCAGCTCCCCGGCTCACCTGACCACGTTGGGGTGCTCGAAGGTCTCCAGGTGCCTCAGCACTGCCACCTCGCGGATGGTGGAGAGAGGCATGCCCTCCTCGCCGGTCTGCACCCGCACGCGCTTCAACGCCACGAAACGGCCTCCGTTCTTCAAGTCTCGGGCCTTGAACACCTTTCCATAGGCGCCCTCCCCGATCTCCGCCACGCATTCGTACTGCTGGTCCGCGCGGCTCAGGCCGTCCTTCTCCATGCCGCCTGGACGCCGCCGGGCGCGTCGCTGCTGGGACGGGTTGGGGGTGCGCTCAACTAGCTGGCGGCCGCTGCTCGCCTCCTCCGGGGTTCCCCGGAGCTCGGTCTCGCTTTCTTTGCCTCCTGCCGGCTCAGGCGCTTGGACTCTGGGGCTCTCGAGGCTGTGGAGGCTGGTTGGAGCGACCTCCTTGCGGGGCTGGCGCAACCCTGGTGCCGCCGCTGCGAAACTCCGCCTGCAGAGTCGCCGCCGCCGCGAGCCGATCCCTCCTCTTTCCTCTCCGAAGCGAAGTCCTTAGCACAGACAGAGACGATTACATAGCATCTGCCCAAGCGTGTCTCAGTCCAGAATCATTGCACCTAAAGAAGGAGACGGGAGGATAAGAAGAAAGTGCAATCAGACAGCCCAGAAGCCTTCCTCGGGGTTCCTCCAGACTCCCCTCCTCCTCCTTCACGAAGCCTCCATCGCTACCCTTCGCGCGCTCCTGCCCTCTCCCAAGCCGCTTAATCCTTCCTGGTTCCTCCAAGAAAAGCGAAGTTACTTTTCTTTCCCTGCAGGGCTGAAGCAGTCTTCGCGCGGAGAGGTTGCAGGGGCCCCTCGGGGATGAGCGGCGCGGGACGCAGTGGAACGGGAGGGGGCGTGCCGAGCAGCCCAGAGTGTGCCGGGAGCGCGGGGGAGGGGAGGCACCGGGCACGTCAATGTCACGGCTTAATATTTATCCCTATATCATTGTGTTGCGCCGCCACCCTCTCCACCTCCTGAGGCCTGGACGTGCAGGGAGAGGGGGTCCAGGGGTGCCGGAGGGCGTTCACGGGTCGCGCACAGCTGGAGCGGAAAGACTGTGGGTCCATCCGTGTGGGGCCGCAGAATGCGGGTGGGGGCTCCCAGGACCCTGTAACCCGATGCTGGGAGTGTGCGAGAAGGGGTGGTCAGACATCTGCTCAGAAATTGCTTCCTTTCTTTCTACTTTCAGTTTTTCTACGAGGAGACATTTAAAAACGACTTGCACACACAAGTGGTCTTTTTGGGGTAAAAGAGTCCCGGTTGGAAACGGAATTCTCTCTGCAACTGGGAGGACCTCCCTGGTGGAAACCTTGGGAAGACCAGCCATCTGGTCCGGGAGGGTTGGGGCTACTCGGGGGTGGGCGAGCGAGAGGCCTTGGGGGAAGGGAGACCCCATCACCCACGGGATCCCAAGGGTGGGAAGAACGGGGTGTTCGCCACACTTTGGCTTGGGAGACGTCCTTAAAAGATACTTCAGGAAGAGGACAGCATAATCGCGCCTGGTCCTGAAGTTTTAAGCTGATTTCGACCTGAGCAAAACTCAACCTCTCTTTCAAAGGGTGGGGGGTGGAGGGTTAAATTCTGCGCCTCCAGGGGTGAGAAAGAAGGTCTGTGCCTTCGGGGTTCGGACTCGGGAACCTTTTCCCACTCCTAGGACCTCCCGGCTGTAGGTAGCGGAGGTGGCTGCCCCACTTCCCCTCCAGCTAAAGGCCAGGTCCAGGCTGCAGCTGGACGCCTCGGAGCCCTGTGCACAACAAAGCGCCGGAGAAGGGTACCCTAACCTTTCCTCACCATTCAGCAGTGATCAGGGACTAGGGGGCCTCCCTCCCTCACGGCCGCCGCGGCCTCGTCAGTACTTTCGCCACGCCGGCCGCGTGTCCGGAATTCCCGGGTCACCTCGGAATTACCTGTCCTGCAACCGCTGGCCCGCACGCCTTTTGCCAGGAATTAAACAAACAGCGCGACCCCACAGTGGGCGGGTGGAGCGGACCGCGGCCAGAGCAGGGATTCTGGCACTCACTCCATTCAGAACTTAAAATCCGAGGAAAGAGCCCCCAGGGACTGCCCGGGGTCTGAGCCGGGTCGAGGAGGGCCACACAGGTAGCCGAGGAGTCGCCGCTGGCCGCCCAACCCGCCTTTCCTCCGTCCCCCCCATCCCCCTCCCGCTCGAGTCTAGCCCCGGGCTCCGCAGCGAAGGAAGCGTCGAGGACGTCCCACCCCCGCAGGGAACTGTGCCTGCTTCCCCCGCAGGGCCCCGCACCGCCCCGGCTCTCCCCCCACTCGCCCCCCAGAAGGTCGGCTACGGCGGAGAGAAACGGGAGCAGCAATGCCTTTTCCCCCCCTCTCCTCCACTTTTTTTTGTTGTTGTTGTTGCTTTCCCACGCTGGCTGAATGTGACTTGACCCCATTTCAAAAAAGTTTGACATAGTGCTTCAACATTTCCGCATTCCTCCGCGACTACAAAGGCTGCAGCCGCCTCCTTCTGCTTTCTGTCTCTGCTCTCTGTCTTCACACTCAATGAAATCCTTCATGCGCCTCTCCCGAAGCCTGCCAAGCACCACAAGGGTCGCCACCAGCACAGCGACAAGAGGCCACACCGGGGACCGCGACTCCCGCGTGTGCGCACACGCAGATGCGCCCATGTGCACACGGTCGGGCGCCCTGCGGGTACCAGGGTTGCTCACCGCGGGGCGTGTGTTTAACTCCAATATTTTAAATTATAAAAGTAAACTTGGAAACTAAAGCAAACATGCGTTTTCGCGGGGCTCCAAGCCTGGGCACTGGCCGGTTGCGTGCACTCTTCTGTGCATAACACGCCCGCAGGAAGCCTGCGTTAACATTTATCTCGTGGAGGGGAGGTGGAGCCCACACCCACACCTCAGCGAGCTGGAGGGGGAGGTTTGGAGGGGGAAATATGGGGGATAGAAGCACATTTTCCATCATGGAGTCCCCAGAGGCAGTGCATTTTAAACCCTAAATGTGAATTTATGTGAGTGTCCGAGTAGAGTTCCAGTTCCGTTGGAGAAACTGGATGTTCTGCGTGGGTGTGTGTGCGCACGGATACGTGGAAGCAGGATCTCGGTGTCGTGGGTGTCCCTAGCATGGGATCTCCCCTATCGTCAGGAGATTCCTCTAGCTCCCCAAAACTGGCCCCCATAACCAACCACAGTTCGTAAGGGGTTAACCAAAGTCGGTTCCAGGGAAACACGGGTTCCCCTCCCTCACCCCCGCCCCCCCCCACCGCCACCCTCCACTTACCCCCACCCACAGTTCTGCCTCGGACCCAAGCCAATCCCTCAGATCTCCCCCGGGACCCCCCAGACCGCAGCCCACCCACCCGAGCGCACAGCTCCTCACCTGAGGGGCCCAGTCGCGTCCGGCCTCCCGAGGGGGCTGCGAGTGTCAGTCGGCTCTGCGCACGTGTCCACGGCCAGGCGGAGCAGGTAATCAGACTCTGGGGAAGGAGTTACTAGTACTCTCTCCGGCGAGGGGGTGGGCACAGCGGCGGAGGGCGGAGGGACGGCGGAGGGCGCCGCCCGCGCGGCTCGCTGGGGGCGGACGGGGCCGCAGAGCTCCGGCCGGTGCTGGGGGCCCCAGCCGGGGAGGCAGCGTGGGAGACCGCGCTGGGGAGGCGGGGACCCACGAAGCCAGCTCTGCGGGAGAGCCACCCCTCGGTGGGGCTGGGGGCTCCTGGCGCAGAGGCAAGCTAGTGTGCAAATTAAAGCCTTCCGGAGAAAGGGGAGGCGGCCCGAGCCCCGGCAGTGTTCCGAGCTCTGGGATCCCCAGCTCCGGTCTCCGCGTCGGGGGCTAGAAGGGCTCGAGGCGGGGGCGGGGGAGTTAAATGAAAATTTCCGGCTTTCACTGAAACTGGAGTAGGGGGATCCCGCGACTAAAATAAGCGGCGTTAGTGGGAGAGAGTGGGGACGTGTCGGGAGTCGGCGGAGTTTCCAAACCCAGGGTCTCCAAGAGTTAGGGTTTTGACAGGGTAAAGTGGGGGTTATCCTCACTGTGTGACGTGGACGGATGGGACAAACAGAAAACAACCAACAATAATTATGAGGGGCCGATGGGGGTGGTAAATACCAATACTTTCCAAGAAACTGAAAAATCAGACCAAAAAATAACTCTTATTTTAAAAAAAAGTTTGGCAGGATGCCTTACAGAAAAGAAATACTAATCTGTCCAAGCACTTTTCACTTTCAGCATGAGCTACGTTTGTTTTGTTTTCCTTCGCTTCCTTTCGGCCTCACAAAGCCCTATATTTTCCTTTTAGAGGATATGGTTTGGAAATTGTCAGGCACTCTTATGGTTAACGATCTACTTGAAGGGGCTGGCGGGTTCACAATTATTAAGTGGTTACTAACTGCTGAGGGTTCACTAATGTATTTCAGAGGAGCTAAAAAGACTAAAATTTAGTGCAAATAATAGAACTGCAGATAGTAGATATATACACACAAAGAGGAGTGCTCAGTTTAAATGCATTATTGGAATTCTGAAATTTGAAACCTTGTAAGAATGTATACTTTACCTGCTGATAAACCCTTGAATACAATTATTTTAGGTGAAAATGAGATTTTGGACAAAAAAAAAAATGTCTTTAAAACTTTCTACAAAGGAGTAAAAGAAAACTTGAAATAGCTGTCTTTTTGGAAAGAATTTAGTATTCTCCAAAATCTGTATCTGTAGAATACTTGAAACCCTTTAAAACATCTAAAAGCAAAACTTTTCACAAAATTACTTACTTCAGTTCTTTGTAGAAAAATTAAAACCCAGCAAAATTCTGTTTGAGTTGGAAATACTACTTCTATAAATCTTTTGACTTTAAAACCATGTTATTAATCTCACAGTAAATCAAAATTTTGCCTTTTTAAATTGATTCTATATTGCAGTGTGAGGTAGGGCTAGGGAAATAAAAATTGATGCATTTCCAGTGGCATATATTTTGCAATGCATTATAATACTTTTTTCCTAAAAAATAAAAGTGAATAATTGTATGTCTTTAAGCTTAAGATAATTCATAAAATACATTTTGTGTTAAGAGCATATCTTCTAAAATAAGATCCAGTTTTCTGAACAAAATTTGCATTTGTAAAGCTATCTATAAACTCACATACCTTATAAATTGAAGAAAGCAAATTAGATTTTATATTTACATAAAATATTGGATCACTAGAAATCACTAATTAGACTTTAAGCCAGAGACACAAATGGGTATCCTCCATTTTGGTACTTGTTCACACTTATTTGCTTTTTAAAACAAGATTTACTTGATGGTAATTAACATGTTTATATAATCCAGAAATAATTGCCAGTAAATAGGAACCAGCACATCATGACTAGAATTTATTTGACTAAATCATTTATTTAAAAAATAGTAAGCTACAAATATCTTTGAAATTCACAGAGAAGTGTCTTTTCCACACTGGGTTGAATTTTTAATTACTGAATTTGACAACAACCATTTTTAGATCAGAAATTCCATGATTTAGGTTACTAGTTGATTTGGGCAATGTAAAAAACAATGAAACTTTAATTATATATGTTAATACTGAGTGTTAACTCTCTGTCCTTTTTTCCTGTTATTGCCATCTTTTATGTTAATTTATTGTTGTTCACTCTTCCTGGTTATGGTTCACATTAAATCCCAGTTGGTTAAAGCTTCAGACCCAAGGAAGTTTTACAATTGATTGTAAAAAATTAGTAAATACCAGATTATTTTTGTTTATGGATAACTTCTGCTGTGGGTAACAGGTTATCATAACAAAATTTGTTCAGAGTTTATGAACTGTGAACCAAATTCCAACTTCTTTGTTTAGGAGTCTTCTGAGAATGAATATATAGGACTCTAGAATGACTCCAACCAGTATTTTCACACCACATATCAGATATTCTAAAGTTGCAAATCATCTTACAGATACTTAAAAATTAGAATTCATGGACTTATTTCCAAATATGGTGGTGTAACTTACACTGAAAGACTTATTAGTGTCACATAAGGAATGTGTTTCATGTGTGAGCATTTATATTTATCTGTAAAGTTTTGTTTTCACTTAAACAAACATAAAATTTTAAATTCTGGTCTATAATTTTTAACCTTGTTAAGGAAATGAGTAATTTATTTAAAAATAATAATTGCATGATGTACACCTAAGTCTAATTCATTTCTGATTTATATTGGTTATTTGAGTTTATAAAATACATTTTTCAGAAACTCAGAAATGAGATATTGCTATAACCTACTACACATTTCAAAAAACATTTCTAGTTTAGCTTTGAAACAAGTTACCCTACTTTTTAACCTGATTTGTGTGTTTATGTAAATGTTATCTTTATTGAGTAATTATGAAAAACTATAATTTAAACAGAAATAGGATAATATAAATGCAGTGCATTTTAATGCATTCTTCTCTCCTTTCTCAGGCATTTCCAAGATATTTTCTTGGGTTTTCCACTAAACTATATTATTGAAAGTTTGCTGAATATCTTAGGAAAAGTCAATTGTATTATCAACTTTTTGCTTTGTAAAATTCTGAGCTTTAAATGATTTTTAAAGCTCAGTCTTCTATTTAAATTATTTCTATCAATTTAGAAATGACCTGGATTTTTCTTGTTATGGTTTCATGTGATCTATTGGATTGCATATGGGCAGTGAAACTTGAAATGATTTTGATATCTGCCATGAGAGAAAAAAATACATATAACCTAGTAGCTTATAACATTTAAGCAGGAAAAAAAACCAAAACATTACTATCTTTTGGAACATTCTGCTTCCATTGGTTCTACTACTCTATAATTTTCCTTGTGCAACATGTCAGTACTATGTTCATATTTGTATAATTGCCATCGTCTTTTAAAAATTTTCCCTTTTTGATAGACACCCATATCTTCTTTTTCCTTTGTGTGTGTGTGTGTGTGTGAATACCTGTATGTTCTTGGCATATTGTTATGACATGTTTGAAACATGTTCTTAAGATCCTTTCATCATCTATATTAGAATTCTGAGTAACCAGAAAAATAACTATGGAAATATACTTACAAAAGAATGTGATAATCACATTAAAATACCTATATTTTCTTTCTATTTACAGTGACCTGTAATTTTCACTGGCTTCTAACATTTCTTTTCTGAGATAATACTTGCATCTCAGCTGCACACATGGCCTAAAAATTGTGTTGCCATAGCTGCTTTTGGTTGAGCTAAAAGGTGTGTACATGCTAGATCACTCAGTTGGAGCAGCGAAGGTGTAATACAGTGGGGGTGAACGATGATAAAGTGTGATCTTGGAGGTAGAAGGAGGGACAAAGAAGGCACCCAGGGAGAAACTTCTGTGAATGGCCTGGCAGCAAGGACAAGTGAAGGAAGCACATGCTGAGGTTGTGGGGCTGAGGGATGCAGCTTTAGTGCTAGAGGTATGGCGTAGCCAGGCAACCCGATTCTTTCAGAATGAATGGCCTTCTGTGTCTATCCTATTATGCAATTAAATCTGTCTTATTAAATGAAGTTATATACTGTTTATGATCTATATTCACATGTAAATCTATTTTATGTTGTCTTATTCTGGATTTTTCCTGAAAATAACATAGAATGGAATTCTTTGCAGAATTATTTCAATGGCTAGAAGAAAATATATCAGGACATAGGTCTGTGGATCAAGCATTTTACCGTAAATTGAAGCAAGGTTCTGATTGCTAAACCTTGTTATAAAGTTTTTCAAAATTACTCATCTCTTTGCATCCCCAGTACCTAGCACAATAACTGGCAAGCATTTTATGTCTAATAAATGTTTGTCTACAGAAACGTTGACTTCACATCCTTTAGACCCTCTTCTTTGGGACTACTTCTTTCTATTTCCTTCAGAGAATACATTAGAATAATTTTTTAGATAATCTTAGCAAAGTATTTTAATAAAGTTTAAGGATCTATGTGCCAATTTCAGGACCTCAGCAATATGTTTTCTCTACCTACGGTTCTTTACCTTTTTAGCCCTCTTTTCTAAGTCCTATCACCCTTGCAACGCTCAGCTCTTCCATAAAACCTTTGGAATTCCTTCAGCTGGAAGACATCCCCCTTTGCTCTAACTCCTTGAGGTAGTTTGCTTTCTATCTTACTGAGCCACCCTGAGTTCCCCCAGAGCATCCAGCAGATGGGTTGCAGACGTCAGAGTCCTATCCTCCCATATTATTCTTGTTTTCCCTTTAACAATCCTCCAACTCCTGGTTGTGCCCTCTGGCTCTAGTAAGTGGTCAATGAATGCAGCAACGGTTCTTGTCCCTTTCTGGGAGTGTTGCTGAGCCAAGCAGGCACAGAACAGACTGGAACACCGTGACATAACTAGAATAACATTTGAAAGTTGATGACTGGTGTTCCATGTTGCTTAAACAGGAAAGCCAGGTCATCCTGCTACTTGGGGTAAATTTGGTCTGTTTTTTCTCATGTTGCCGATATTAGTCATTTAAAACATTTTTATCTGAAAGAAAATGTGTTTAGGTACATTTCTAGATTTGTT